AGAAAAGGTTTAGCTAATAAAAAAACAAATTCTTCTGAGAAACAATAACAAGTTAATAAAGTGAAAACAAAACAAATAAAAATCCACAAAAAACGAATTCGAGCTTCCTCGATAATCATTTTCAATACTGAATTCATTATCCGTAAATTAACATACACGAACGGATGGAGAGGGATTCGAACCCCCGATATTTTGTAATATGTCAGTTTTCAAGACTGATACCTTCAACCACTCAGACATCCATCCAAAGCAAAGGCAAGAGACGGGTGACATCTTTTCTGACGAAACAGCACACGTCAGCCGAGCGCTACAGCAAGATCGCTCGTGGGGGTCCCCTGTGAGCATGTCTGCGCGATTGAATGCCTGTGGCAAGAAGCGCGACGTCCCGCTTGACGAAACCCAAGCCCAGGGGAAAGGTCGACGGCACGTCCCGAAGGCGAAGAGGCTACGTTTGGATGATGCGTCAGCAAGCGTGCCGCGTCGTGGTGCGCAAGGTTGGGCGCAGGCCGCGGAAGAGGTCAACGATGATGATTTCATGACGGAGGACAATCAAGGCTAGGCGACGGCGTCTGCAGGACGGGAGAGTGCCAGGCAGCGTACTCCGGATCAGAGCGCTTCGAAGAGGATGTCAACCCCTCCGCCGGAGGCGCAGCAGCTGCGTGTCCGCGAAACGTGGAAAGAGAAGGGTGTTGTGGTGGACCTTGGCGACGAAGACGATGAGCCTTTGGAAAAACGTCGCCTGCGCAGTGCGACACAAGCGACCACAGCGGCGGTGTCGACGGCTCGCGCTGCGGAGGACGAAAGGCCGATCACAGGTGCACTGCCCTGCACGCCGTCTCAGCCGCGTCAGCGCAACGACGGTGGTGACGGTGCGTCTCGCCAACGAGGTGGTGGTGGGGGAGTCATGGCAGACGCGCGTGCAGCAGGGGGTGAGGCGGCAGGTGGCGCGGGTGTGGCTGTTGCAGGTGTTGTCCCTCCCGTTCCGACGGCGAGAGAGGAGGCTGCAGTTCCAGCGACGGTGAGAGAGGAGGATCGTGGACAGAACACGAACCAACGGGATCGCAGCGAGGCCGCTTTAAGCCGGGCACGCAGGGGAGTCATGACGAAAGACCTTATCGATCGTGCGCTTCTTTGGGTGGATGACAAATGTTTCTGGACGATGGGTGAAGGACGCAGACTTTACAACATCGTCCACGAAACCAAGGAGTACTTCGTCGCCATCGCCAGCGGCCTTCCGCCACCTGAACTTCCGTGGAGCGTTGTCGTCCCCAAATCCAGCACGAGGGTGGCAAGGATCGCAGACCAATCACAGCTCCAGCAAGCGATCTCCCGTGCGGCGGCGGTGGAAAATATAGCTCAGCGCATCTTGCACGACTGGGTTTTCAAGTCCGGGAACCGCCCAAGGGGGTACCACCTTGCTTTCCAGTACTCGTTGGAGTCTGTAGCGACGGACATTGCGCGTGCAATGTGGTACGGCGAGGAGTGGCGCAACGTCGTCAGCGCGCCGATCTGCGCCCACACGATAGATCTTAACATGGACCTTCCACTGTGGTACGCCGGCGCGAATATCGAGGACAGACCTGAGGACGATGACATGGTTGCGTACTAGGAGTCCACCGTCATCAGCATCGCGCATTCGTTCTGCGCGGCGGTGCAAATGGGCGCTCACATCGATGGGGATTTCATCTCCTACGACCGTCTATGTCGGGTGGCTGACTGCTTCAGGCTGTTGCTGGCGGCGTCCATATGGATTATGCACATGGCGGGAGACGATCCGCGCAGTCACTATGAAACATTTTACTTCGCGGATCTCGTCGCCAGGCCGACACTAATCGCCTCCATGCATCGGTCCTTCGATCATCGACGATCCGTCGTCCGCGCCGCGAATGTCGTCACGATGAGGCTTGGGAAGGCGAAAGCCACGCTCGGAGTGTACCCCGACTACATCCCTGATTGGGCACCATGCGGCATCGGATTTGCGCACGACGCGACCATCAAGGGGCCGGAGGATGCGAAGAGGCTGGATTGGTTGGGTTCGGGCCCCGCCGATGATGACATCAAAGGCGAAGGAAAGGACGACGCATAAGGCGGGTTGGTATGTGGGGGGAGAGCGGGGAGACAACGCTTCTAAGAACGAAGGCGAATGTACGCGTGGCGAGACGTGACGGGTTGTCGTGTGATTGGAGTGTTGTGTGTGGCGCACCTGATTAGCGTGTCGGCCGCCGGGATTCGCCAGAGTCCTCCTTCATCATTGTGCACAAGTTTACTGTGGCGCCCGTGGCATAAGCACGGGTTGATTCAGTTCGATTGTGTCATTGTAGTTTCGGTGGTTAGCGTATTGGCCGGAGGGATTCGGCTGAATCTTCGACGGTGGCGTAGATGTTTAGTGCACGGGATGAAAGGTTTGCACCTTTGTTTTCCGTTGTTTTTTTTTTTTTTTTTTTTTTTTTTTTTTTTTTTTTTTTTTCTGCGTTCAGCGCACGTGGTTATTTTATCAATGCATGGTGCTCCTCGTTGTCTCGGACGATTTGAAGCGCGTGGCGGTCAATTGTTGTTTTCTTTTTTGCGATGCGTGTGACAACTCTCACGACTCTGTCATATGTCAGTGTCATGAATGTCGTCATGTCTTTTGTGGGACACAAATGTCGTGCGTGTCATGCAGTGTCCTTGTCTGCGTTGCACTTATTCTTGTTCTTCGTATTGGCTTCACAACATGCAATAGACATGCGTCCATCACAAATTGACAAAATGCATGACGGGATCGTACAGAAGCATGTTGCACATGTCATCCCACCACAACAGCACACGGAACCGGTCATGGAAACTGAAATGAAGATATGCACCAAAAAACGATAAAGATAAACAACATTTCCACAGATGGATAGCAAATATATATATATATATATATATATATATATATATATATATATATATATAAATAAAAATAAAAAACAACAACAACAACCATGTTTCCCAACGCGCGACACCGTTCATCACAAACGATTTGAAGACAGGAAAAATATATAAAAGACAAAAAGTCCTAACGACGACGACACACACTGGCAAAAAAAAAGGTTCTTCCAATCTTTAAACTTCGCACAACAATGCGAACCAGGTAGCCATCAACAGCATGAAAACGATAATGTGAACTCGTCGACGACAATCATGCCGTCGTTCGAACAACCAACCAACCACGAGAACGACGACCATGGACATGGACCACGTAATAACTCCTGCCGCCTACTGATCAAACCACCCCGTGTGCACCACCTCCCTACCGCACGGTCCTACATCAAAGCTAGGCGGTCTCACAGTGCATCCCTCAACAATTCACCTTCCACGTTTGTGCACCGTCCCCGCCCGCGTGCGCCGTTCCCCACAATGCCCAAGTCCACTTTACGCCGAACGCCGTTCGCATCCACCTCCCACAGAAGGTTCTTGTCGAAGTCGATCCCCGCGTCCAGGAGGATATTGTGAAGAGTGCAGACAGCCACGAATTGCTGTGGCAAGGTCTCTAGGTTCGTCTTATGGGTGCGCAAGAACAGACGCCACATGCACTTGAGTCGGCCGAATGCCCTCTCCACACACCCCCGTGCCACCTTTTGCCGCGTGTCGAAGCGCTCCTCGTCAGCACCTTGGTCGATTCCTCTGTACGGCAACACAATCCACAGACAGGCAACTGGAAAACCGTTGTCGCCCAGCAGGTAGCCTCGCGTGACGACACCGTGCGGCAGATTCTCCGGAGTTGCGTCAAACAGCTCGCCACTTTCTGCACGCCTAAACAACAAGGAATTGTGTAGGACACGGACGTCGTGCACACTTCCACGGTATCCCACGTGGACGTCGAGGATCCGCAAATCCAAATCCACAACCACCTGCGCTTGCATGGAGAACTTCTGTTTGCGGTCGTAGTAGTTCTCAGAAGGTGTACCGGCGGGCTTGTCAATGTAGATGTGTGTATAGTCGATAGTGCCAAAGCAGTTTGGGAAACCCTTCTCACGCAAAGCGCGCAGAATCTGCGCACGTCTCCTGCCCATTGGCCACTTTATCGCGTCGGGGTACGCCTGCAGCAGCGCCGAAGTGACGTCGCGGACGGCCTGCTGTCCAGTTGCCCTGCCGATGCCAAATGTTGACGTGCCGCTCTCGTACGTCTCTCCGGACGCCCACCTGTATAACGCGAAAGCAATCAGCTGCTCCACTGGCAATGACATTCGATAGTGCGTCACCTTCTTCTCCATGTACGCGGCACACGCGGCTACGATGTGGTTGAACATGGTCGTCGACATGCGCAGCTTCTGTCGGAAGTACTCGTCCGTCGCGTTGTCCCGAAGCCAGAGGTCCTCCCATGTCCCGCCAGTCCGTCGTTTAATCCACCATCGCGAAGTCTGCCGCGGGAAAACGCCAGACGTAAGCGCGGCACACAACTAGACGACTGCCTCACACGTCGCCGCGCAATCTGGCGCCTCTGCAACGCTCTGCAACAGCGCTCTTCGTTGCCGGAGCCGCATCAGCATGTCGCGCGACGAGGACTCCTTGTCGCCTATCGTGTTCACGACGACGGCAGTCACTGCCATCGCCACGACGTCGATCTCTTCTTCGCGTAGACCGTTTGAGCAGCCGTGACTGTCCATCTCTGCCAATCCTCGCACGGTTTGCCAAGTCACGCCTTCGACAGCCGCCTCAGACACGCCCGCCGTGGAACCCTGCCGTCGTAGACAAACAACGTCAGAGTCGAAGATGCCAACACTGCTGTACAATGGCACTAGAGATGAACACGCGTCCGCTGCTCCACACTTCTAAAGGACGGTACGCACGCCGGAGGCGAACGTGCGGCTCACACGATCATGCACACGCTGCTCGCAAGTTGCGTACACTCGAAAGATGGATTCCGCGCGGCGAACGGCAGGGAGGCGCCGTCTTTTTCAGGTCACACGCGTCGGCAGGGAGGCGCCGTCTTTTTCACGGCGCACGCGTCCGCGAGAATTCGAATTCAAAATTTTGAAGTTCCGGCGAACCGCGCTTTTCACCGATCCGTCGACTCCCGCCCAAGGCCCACCGCATTCTGTACCACGGACACCGCCGAGGAATGGACGGACATCGGTGGCACGGCTGCGTATACGCGTATGAAAACGGGCCGCGGGAAACCTTTTAGGAACAGTCCTAAAAGATGATTTTTAGGACTGCGTGTAACGACACCGCACGAAATCCTCAAAAACCTTTAGGACTCGTCCTAAAAATTTTAGGATTCTTTTAGGAGTGTCTAACGAGACCCTATATGTAATTTTTTTTTTAATTCAAGGGGGGGGGGGGGGGGGGGGGGGGGGGGGGGGCGCTCCGCCTTCCCCCCCCCTCTGTTGCCACGCGTTTCGCATTCAACTTTTGAACGCGTTGAACGCGCGTTCACTGAACGCGGCTGAACACTTTTGACGCGTTCACGCAGAAGCCATGTAGTGTTGGGGGCGGCAGGTTTGGGGTGTGGGGGGGACTGGGTGGCGGGGGAGGGGCCAACGGCCCTGCCAAAAAAAAAAACACGACCAAATAATGACCATAAAAAAAAACGAAGCATCCGTATGTGGCAAAAAATATGTGCAAATAATGCAGCAAACACTCCCCGCACTTCTGAAAATCAGAAAGCAAGACGGAGAAAAGTCAGGGCCACGCCACACCCCAAAACTTAGGCCACATGCATGGGCATGTTAGCATTCATGTCCTTTTTTTTTTTTTTTTTTTCTCCTAATTGTGTCAAGCCTCTTTTCCGAAGGGCCCTCACAGCGAATTAGCTAGGACCCCACGTGCAGCAGAGGTGGACTTCAAACTTCCACTTGCCAGCGTGAGCAGAGAATATATAGTCTGGATTCGAATTCAGGTCTGTGCATCTCGGTTATGGGTCACTGTTTCTCTATGTCACACCCGCGGCCTAGGCCGCGGGTGTTTCGGTCGCTGTGGCCGAAAAAGTCTCGCAGCCGCGGTCCATGAGGCCCAGTCCGCGGCCTGTTTTTTTATTAATAATTTTGTTTTACCCCTAAAAATATGCAAACAAAAAATAAAAAAATACAGGGGTGTAGGGCTTGGAAAACCCTACAATGCTATCTACTTTATTTTGGAATCGGACTTCGTTTGAGATTTTCAAAAAATGAAAAACGAAATCCGATTTAAACAAAATATAATTAAAAAAAAAAGAAAAGCAGAATTTTTTTTTTGTCATTTTTTATCATGAGTGATATGGTCCCTGAGTTGTGCTGTATTTTTTTTAGAAATGAATTTCGGTTTTTTACAGGTAAATTAGGTGTTTAAAACAAATGAAGATGCAAAAATAGAAAACAAATAAACAAAAAAAGGGTTTGATTGATTGTTTGATTGATTGATTGATTGATTTGCTTTGATTGATTGATTGATTGTGTGTGTGTGTGTGTGTGTGTGTGTGTGTGTGTGTGTGTGCGCGCGCAACATTTCAAATCATAGCAACCCGTTGTACGGGAACCTCAGCATGATCCACTCACCTGTAGATTGAAGTAGTCTCATCTATGGAGCATAGAACTCTGTCAACCAGCAATCCCGCAGCCGCACTCAGAGACACGATGCAGAGGGTGAGAGTATAGAGGGGATAGGAGAGAGAGGAGAGAGAGAGGGGGGGGGGGGGAGCTAGGATGGCAATAGCCATCAATGTTAGCATAGAAGCTAACAGAGGAGGGGTGGCGCATCCCCTAAAGCGCTTTTCACCGCTAGCGCCGGTCACGGCTCATCAGAGGGTGAGAATCCTCTGGCTCCCGGGGGTGGGTGGAGAAGGTGACAGAAGTAAGGGGGGGTGTGTGCCATAGTAGGTACACTTACCACATGCTCATTGTTAACGGCGTCGCCGATGATGTCATCATTCCTGATGCTGTTGTCCATGGCTGCCATTGTACTGTCACCGTAAGGGAGCAACGATCAGCAGAGATCGCAGTGTCAGTCCAGGTAGTTGTAGGACTGAGATTGCCGATCTTGTGATGTCACAATCACTTCTCCGGGCAAACGCAGTAGTCGAAGCAAGGGTCGGACTGGATCTGCCGTTGCCGAAGTACCCATTGGCTGTAGAAGATTGCTCTTAAGAGCAGATAACAGCCAGTGATAGTAGAGGTCCCGCTATGGCAGATACTTGCAGTGGGGTGCTCCCGTATCTGCAGGTTAACTGCGAAGGCAGGAGGGAGGAGAAAAGAGAAAAGGAGGGCGAGAAAGAGGGAGGGGGAGAGTAGCAGGGGAGGAGTAGCATAGCTCGACACAACGAGCAACGCCTCAAAGCGTGAGGTGTCTGGGAGCTCAATCGGCATAAGCAATGTATATGTAGGAAGATAGAGTAGGGGTGGGTGGAGCGGTGAGGGTGGGCAGAGTTGCTGACGGTGGGTGGGAAAACAAGCGGGAAGAGGCAGGGGTTGGTTATCGGTGGGGTGGGAGTGGGGGTGTGGGAGGGGTGTGTTCGTGGAGGTGGGTGGATGGTGGATGGGTGGGTGCGTGGGGGGAGGGTGACGCAGTGGCAAGGCATGGTTGGAGGGGCGGTGGGACTGTGGCTGTGAGTGGCAGCGATGGGTGGGTTTAGCTGGTGTGTAGCAAATGTGCGGGGTTTCTGTGAGTGGTATATCGTGTGTGGGGGAAGGGGGAGTGAGCGTGTGTTGGGAGGTCCTTTTTTTTGGGAGGGAAAAAAACGTTAGCTTGGCAGGTGCTTGGCTATGGTGAGGCAGGTCTTGGTTTGTAGTGCGGGGTCATCTGCGGGTTGTCTCTTTCCTGTATCGTCGTGTAGCGTCGTTTCAGGATAGTGGTTTCTACTGGTGGTGTGGTCGAGCGGTATGAAAACGTACATGGGGTAGAAGGCGTTTTTCTGTTTTGTTTTATTTGTGTGTCGTCGTTTGGCCGCAGGTACAGCGCCGGAGGGGTGTGTGTGACACTGTGTTCTAATGTGTAAGTGATATGTCATTATGGGAGGTGAGTTCGGGGTTGGCGGGTGGGGCACCGGATGTTGTGGGTGTGTGTTTTTTTTTGTGATGGGCGGCTATAGTTAGGTCTGTGGTACAGTGCAGGGTCATGTCCGGGTTGTCTCTTTCCTGTACTGTCGCATAGCGTCGTTTCAGGGTAGTGGTTTTCGCTGTTGGCAGGTTAGGGCAGTATGAAAATGTATGTGGGGTAGAAGGCATTTTTTTGTTTTTAGTGCGTTGTCGTTTGGCCACAGGTGCCGCAGGGGGCTGTGGGCCCTTAGCCTAGGGAAGGAGGGGATCCTAGTGTAGGGAGTGTATAGTGGGTGGGTTGCACTGTTTTTTTTGGGGGGTAGCTTTCATTGATTTTATAAGGGGGTGAACTTGTTGTAGGGGTAGAGAAATTGTTTTTTTTTGAGAGAATAAGTTGTAGGGTACGGGGTGGTGGATGGGGTGCACGGCAGCGGGGGGTGGGTGTGTGTCGTTGTGGGGGGTGAGTCCGGGGCTGGTGGGTGGGGCGCCTGATGTTGTGGGTGTGCATTTTTTTTTTGGTTCGCCGGTAATGGTTAAATCTGTAGTATAGTGCAGTGGCAGGTCGCAGAGTATGTGTGTGTGTGTGTGTGTGATGCGTGTGCAAGTGGGGGGTGAGTCCGGGGCAGGAGGGTGGGGCAATGGGTGTTGTGGGTATTCGGTTTTTTTTTTGGGATGGGCGGCTGTGACGCCCAAACCTCACGCCCTGCGCGACTTCCTGATCGGAGTGGGATGGGGGCCTGGAAGTGCGAAGAGGGGTGTGCCAAGGATTTTTGGGAAAGTGGGGGTTGAAGTCCCAGGTCGGAACTGGGATCTTCTGTGGCCGAGTTCAGGGGCAGAGATGCAATAGAGAAATGGGAAAATTTACGGGCGCGGGCTTGCACGCTGGTTGTGCGGGGCCGTCCGATCCTGACGTGATTGCCAGTTCTGGGGAGCCTGTCRAGGCGGTCCTTGGGGCCCACGCCTYCGGGGTCCRCCACGTGGCGTGGGTTGGTGGGAACTATGCCTAGGTGWCGAGGCTCCGGGGGTTCGGGTATGGGCACGTCAATTGCAGCTTCTGCGCAGGGTGGAGGGCCAATAAGGCTCTATGGAATTCCACGGTACTACTGTAAGCTGATGATAGGGGAGGAGGAGGTGGTATGGCGGGAAATTAGTGGCGATAAGGACGAAGCCGAGGGTTATGAAATACTGTGTGTTGTACATGTTTGGGTAGTCGGGTATCCGTGGGTCGCTTCGTACGGCGAGATGGAATTCCCTAGCGCAGAATCTATCGTTTTCCGTGAGGCAGGGGAACACCGGGTTTCTCAAATTTCCCCATAATCGGAGTTGCTCTTCTTCCCAGATTTCCCGGTATCCGAAATACGACTCGTAATCCTCGGAATTCCAAGATACGTCGGAACTCCGCGAGCTCGTCATTCTTTCATCACTCACGCCTTGGGGGATAAGTTAATCGGGGAGACCACCGCTCGTAAGTGCGTAAGAGAGATGCGAACAAGTCGCACTTACGCGCACTTACGGGTGATGGGTAACCCGATCCCGGTTGACGTCGACTCCTACTTCAGTGAGGGGCTGACTAYGGGCGTTAGCCAAGACGTGATTGGCGAGTCCGAGTGGTATGGAAACATGTAAGCCGCGYTCCATTCGGATCGCACTTGCAGGTGCCCATATGGCACRTCGGATGGTGCGCTCCAGACTACCCGTAAGATTCGACAAGCCAACACACTCTACTGATCACGCCACCATGCAATCCCCATTYTCATTCATCATGTACGAGGGTTCGAAGGGAAACGATCAAAAACGAAAATGYGAAGGTGCACGAACCATCCATACATCATTTGCAAAAGAGGATTYCGGAGAAGGAACGAAAAAGGAGAAAACATCKAWAMAAAAAAAARAATCAAATCGAACAACAGGACGAGTATATGGCCGCAAAGACGAGGGCGAGTTGCCCGTAATCGACACCAAAATTTATATACACAAATAAAAAAAAGGGCCGAAAAGAAAAACGCAAATCCATGTTCATCCTAAACCTCAACTCTCTCTCCTCTCTCTCTCTCTCTCCGATGCCGACAGCCTGTCGTCGCGCACCAACCCATGAAGCCGTCACCCCGCTTAGTCCTCCTGCGCCCATCAGGTTCGCTCCGCGCCCACAGTCCGTCGTGGCCCGCGTCAACCCCGCGCATTCGGCACCAGCTTGTCGGGTCGCCCGACTCCCACTTCACTCACCGTTTACTTCGCTCGTGTACCGACCCTCTTGATCGCGCAACCCCGAGCTTCCAGCAACTGTTAAGAGAGAAAGTTAATAACGCAGCCGGAATTTATAGGGTGCATGCATGCGCGAAGAACACGGAATTACAAGGACGTAGATAGATGGGAGAAAGGGAGTGCTTACGTTTGGACGGTCGGGCCGCGGCGTGGGGGACATACCCAACTCCACGCATCGATCCGAACATGCAAACGCGGCTACCCAGCTAGGGAGGGGAGAGAGGAAGAAACGAGGCGGGAAGAATAGGAAGCAAGAAACAAAAAGATACAGTTACAAAAGTGTGCGCCCAAAATTACAGTTGCAAAAGGATTAAGGCGCCAATCAATCAAGGTCCTGGCGCAGCAGCAAGAAAGAGCGCGCGAACACGCAAAGCAGCGCCCCAGAAAAACAGAAATTCCAAAATTCCAAAATTCCTAGCTAGCCTGCCGATATTATGAAAAGGTCCGAAAAAGAAAATCAAAATTCCGAAGGCCGTATGGCTCCGACCAAGATTCGAAAAGAAAATTCAAAAAGAGACACCGAAATTCCCGCGCGATGTCTGCGCGCCCAAAAGTCCGACAAAACAAAATTAAAAGAAGGGAAACGAAAGAAAAAAAGCGATGTCAACGTTTATTAATCGCGCACTCGGCACGCACTCCGCATCCATCTGATCAAGTTTCACCCCCTTTTCCCCGTCCATTCCCGAATTGTCCCCAACTGTCATCAGGGGCTCGTACGCGAACGAAGAAACAACGAAGAAAGCAAGGATACACATGCAATTTTCCATCAACCCGTCCAATCGACGTGGGACCCCGCTTAGCACTTCGCACAGAAAGTCGCGCATTATAGAAGCTAGTTCGTCACATATGTGACGCCCCGGGGGTTCCAAAGATAAGCAAGCTCCTGCTTGCTAGCTGACGTGTCGATCATCTTCGATTGATTGGCCGTGGATGGTTGATCTTCTTTTCTGCCRCATAYCGTGCGAACGAGTGTGGAAGTCATGCTGCRCGGCAGTCGTATCCTGGTTGTCGTCACTCGTGGGGAAGAGGAAAAGGAAGACGATAGGCAGGCGGAGGTGTTGATGGGGGATAAGTTGGGATAGGCGGGAAAAAACGTTC